TCTCCTCAGGGATGCTCTCCAGCCATTCTCCCCTCAGCCTGCATTTGTGCCTGGGGTTGCACCAACCCAGGTGCAGGACCCTGCACTTGGCCTTGTTGAGCTTCATGAGGTTGGCACTGGCCCACTTCTCCAGCCTGTCAAGGTGCCTCTGGATGGTGTTCCTTCCCTCTTGGGTGTCAACCACACCTCACGGCTTGGTTTTGTCAGCAAACTTGCTGAGGATACACTCAATCCCACTGTCCATGTCTCCAACAAAGATGTTAAACAGCACTGGTCCCAGTACTGACCCCTGAGGGACACCACTCATCACCTGCCTCCATTTGGACATTGAGCCATTGACCACAACACTCTGGGTGGGACCATCCAGCCAATCTCTTATCCACCAAGTGGTCCATCTCTCAAATCCATGCCTTGTCAGTTTGGAGACCAGGATGTCATGTGGGACAGTGTCAAACCCCTCACACAAATCCAGGCAGATGACGTCAGCTGCTCTGCCACCATCTCTGCAGCCTTGTTGCAGAAGGCCAGCAGATGGGTCAGGCATGACTTGCCCCTAGTGAAGCCATGTTGGCTGTCACCAATCACCTCTTTATTTTCCATGTGCCTTAGCAGACTGTCCAGGAGGATCTGCTCCATGAGCTGGCCAGGCACAGAGGTAAGACTGACCGGCCTGTAGTTCCCTGGGTCTTCCTTTTTCCCCTTTTTAAAAGTAGGGGCTATGTTCCCTTTCTTCCAATCAGTGGGAACCTCACCAGACTGCCATGACCTCTCAAATATGATGGACAGATGCTTAGCAATTTCATCTACCAGCTCCCTCTAGACCTGAGGGTGAATCCCATCAGGTCCCATAGATTTATGTACCTGCAGGTTCTTTAGATGGTCACGAACCTGCTCTACACCTACGGTGGGGGTAATTCATTCTCCCAGTCCCTTCTTTCACCTTCTGTGGCCTTACACACACATATACATATTATTATTTTTTTTTTTACTGTTCTTGGAAAGTATTGTACTTCAAATATATTTGAGGTAAAATAGGTGGAAGATGTGCATCTCTTAAACTCCTCCTTGCACCCTGCTTGGTTCACAACAGAGGAATGCACGTAACATTCCCTTGGCCTGTAAGATCCAGGGATCTGCTTATTCAGTTATACTTAAAGCATGAAAGGCAGTCCAGATAAAGATAAGTACTCAAGAGGAATTCCTATAGTGATCTTAATGTTTTGCTCCTATAAAATGTGCTTCCTTGTTTAGAGAAGGTTTTGAAGAGAAACACAACTCGTAGATTATGAAAAATCGGAAAGGGAACCACTTGAGCACTGAGGTCAACATTCCTTTGAAAATATGTGATTTAACTTGGAAGTTCAAAAGGGTTTGACAGAGTTAGTGTCAAGAGACTGTGCTATTATCAAGGTAAGTCTGTCATATGAAAGTTTGTTGCATGAAGGAGTTTATAAAAGCAAAAGGTGGCAATGAGATGAGGTGGCAATGAGGGCTTGGAAGGGACCTCTGGAGATCATGATCTGCAGTTCAAACCCCTTGCTGCAGCAGGGACACATCCAGGCAGGTGCTGAAAGTCTCCAGAGAAGGAGACTCCACAACCTCTCTGGGCAGTCTCTTCCAGTGCTCCATCACGCTCACAATAAAGAAGTTTCTCCTCATGTTCAGGTAGAACTTCCTATGTCCTAGCTTACACCCACTGTTCCTTGTCTTATCACAGTGCATCACTGAAAAGAGATGGCCCTTTCTTCTTGACACACACTTCTCAGATATTTATCAACATCAATAAGATCATCAATCTTTCAGCCTTCTCAAGACTAAACAGCCCCAGGTCTCTCAGCCTTTCTTCATAGGAGAGATGTTCAAGTCCCTTAATCATCCTCTACTCCCTCTCTACTCGGCTCTATTGAGACCACATCTGGAGCGTTGTGTCCAGTTCTGGGCTCCCCAGTTCCAGAGGCACAGGGATCTACTGGAGAGAGTCCAAACCAGGCTACAAGGGTGAAGAAGGGACTGGAACATCTGTCTGATGAGGAAATGCTGAGAGACCTGGGGCTGTTCAGTCTAGAGAGGAGAAGACTGAAGGGGGATCTAATTAATGTCCTATCAGTATATGAGGGCATCAAGAAGGCAGGACAAGCTCCTGTCACTTGTGCCCTGTGACAGGACGAGGGGCAATGGATTCAAACTGGAGCCCAGGAAGTTCCACCTCAACATGAGGAAGAACTTCTTCACTGTGAGGGTGACAGAGCCCTGGGACAGGCTGCCCAGAGAGGGTGTGGAGTCTCCTTCTCTGGAGACTCTCAAGACCTGTCTGGATGCCTTTCTGAGTGATCTGAGTGATAGGGTTTTTTTGGTCTTGCTCTGGCAGGGGGGTTGGACTTGATGATCTCCAGAGGTCCCTTCCAGCCCCTGACACGCTGTGACGAG